AGCTGGGGAAGCCCCAGGCTGGGCCAGCGAGGAAGAGGATGGAGGCCTTGTTCCTGGGTGGGTGCACGGATTGCAGGCGAGACTCTCTTCCCCCAAATACTGTTGGCGGGACCCCTCCTGGCACCTTTTGATTTCACACACACACACACACCGTTCCCTCCCTTTCCCCTAATTTTCGATCCTGGGCTTTAAAAGAAGCCCTTCTCTTATTTGTTCCAACTTTTTCTGCCTTGAATCTTGTTGGGGGGGGGGTGAGATTTCTCCCGAGGATGCTGATGCTCCACGGGGCTTTAAAAAGAAACACCAAAAATCATCCCCCAAAGGGGACTCTGAATCTAAAAACGAAGTAAAGAAAACCACTGGCACCTTGAAACTTCCATCCTCTTGAACCATGGCCATTTCTCGGCCTCCCCCATGCTTAACCTTTACGTGAGTCCTCTCTCCGATTAAAAATTGATGCCTTACTTAGCCAGTGGCAGATCTTGGCTTGGAAACTCAGCAGGAGGGGACCTGGTTAGTCCTCCCAGGAGAGGCTACCTGAAAATGCCCAGTATTTGGAGGAAACTGGGGGAAATACACTGGGAAAAGGAGATGTCCAATCATGCCTGTCCTGTTGCCAAATAAATGGAGTGGCTGGATCCCTCCAATCCCTAAAAGTCAAACTCCGCTTGCAGACCTCTTTATCTTTTATATTCTGCTCCTTTGCAAGCAACCTTTCTCTGTTTCTTCCTCTGGGGTTATCGATTCTCCTCCAACCTCTTCCTGATTTTTCTTCCATCCTCTCTTGCACATCCTTTCCCTTCGTTCTGGGTCTCTCAGGATGCTAAAATACCTCCCCCTCCCCACCTCCGGGGTCACCTTCCTTTCCTATTTAATTTTCCTTCCCTAGAGGAGGGATTTTCCACTTTTCAGACGATGGAACCTGGGAGTTGGAAAAAACAAAATCCTTCAAGCCTCTCCCTCCAGGAGCCAAACGCTAGTGATTGAAAATTGGCCATAAATCAAACTTGCACTTGTTGTCATCCATGGAGGCAAAGGGGTTTAGTAAAGTTATTTGTGTTTTTTCCCCCCTGCATTTGACTCTTGTTCTTGCGGGACCCGGTTTGAAAAACCCTGCTTTCGATGGCCTACTAACTTTTGCTAGGCCCGGATGGCTCCTTTTCCAAACATTGGTGGCTGAACCTTTGGGCTCATTTGTCCCTTCCGGGGATAAAATGAAGTCCCAGTTTTTAGCATTCCGGATGGCTCCTGCCAGTCTTCCCTTCCCCGAGTTCTGTTTTTCAAATTTTCCTTTTGGCTTCTTTCCCGAGCTGGGGAAAGAAGCTGGAGGGAGTCAAAATGTTTGCTTTCGTGTCATCCGAGCAGCTGGGCCAGAAGGATTCCCCACCCGGGCGCCCTCTGCCTGTTTGGGACACCGAATCTAAGCCTGTCTTAGGGTATCAGGCGAGAGAAAGCCGGGCTGAACAAGCCGTCCTTAGGGCCAGCGCGCTCGGCTGGGCTCTTGGAGGAATCCCCCAAGCGCTGCCTTTCTTTCGGAGGGCGTAAAGGGAGCCCCAGCACCAGCTTGAAAACTGGAAGTTCAGATTACCAAAATGCACCCCTGTTGAAACCCGAATCGCCAACTTGCACAGAGGGCCGAGACCCCCTGCTTCGTTCGGAAGATGATTTTGATTTGATTTCCTTGATTGATTTTATGATTTCTCAGGCCCTTGCGGCTTAGAGACTCCCCTTCCTTCGAAGGAAGCCTGGCTTTATTTTATTTCCCTGCCTTCAGTGACCTCGGTTGAGGCTGGTTTTCTCTGGGCCCGTCCTAAACTAGTGAGCGAGCCATGGATGTCCTTAAAGGTTGTCCTGCTTCCCAAAGGGACTCCGTAAATCCTCCTTTTGCACCCCCGGAGCCGAGAAGGCCCCCTGGAGCTCTGCCCACCCATCTTCCCCTTAAATTTAGCTCCATCGATGGAAGGTTTAGTGAAGCAGACGCCTTGAGTCGGGCTTGGCAATAACCCAACGGTGTGTGGTTCGGGGAATGAAGTATTTGCTCAAGAAACAAACAGGTGGGGGAGACGGGGGGCCGGGGTGGTGGTGGAAAGAGGCTGGCTTTTCTGCCTTCCCCAAAAAGCGCCCCCCCCTCCCGCCCTTGGTTTCAGACAAAAACACCCGGAGTGGTTTTCTTTTTTTTTATCCCCTGGGTTTTGTTTCACGAGTT